AAATGCAATCACTCATATACATATTTTCACACTAGTGTAAATACATTCCATAAAGCTTTCTTGAGCTAATCTGAAGGCCACATGAAGTTTGGAGGTCTATATTGATTGACTCTGCAGAAGGTTCACGAACCCATACCCAAGCGCAGAGCCCACTTTGTGATTTTAGGTGGGTTACCTCTTTGTGGCTGCTGTTCTCAATCACTTCCACTTTGTTATAATACCACTGACAACTGACTGTGGAATATTTAATAGTGAGGAAATTTCACAACTTGACTTGTTGCACAGGTGGCATCCTATCACAATACCACACTGATGTCCACTGAGCTTCTGAGAGCGAGCCATTCTTTCACAAATATTTGTAGAAGCAGTCTGCAGGCCAAGCTGCCTGATTTATACACATATGGCTGTGGAAGCTACCAGAACAGCTGAATTCTAGATGGGTGAGAGAATACTTTTGGCAATATAGTGTCTCTAAAACAAATCCTGACTGAGCTTACAAACTAACGTAGATGAACACTAAGGCAAAAAAAACCCCCCATACAACATGCTTTATTATTGTAGAGAACTACTATTTCACCTCAAAAAGGTTTTATACAACATGTGTTTTATGATACAATATTTTGCACATTGATTTATGTTTTATATGTGTTCAAATACAGAATCATTATTCCAAAAAACACAAACAAGTCAGTTTTTATAGTTTTTTATACAGTACACCCACAGGATCAAAAGGCCAGTTAAAGAAATCTCACTGACTTAATGATCGTTAAAGTTATACAAGGACAGCTATCAAAACCGAAAGAGAGTTTAGAAAAAAACCCCATCAAACGGTTGCTAAATTCTTTTGATTGGGACAACTAGTTTCTAGGTTTCAGTTTCAATTTGACACCAGTTGACTAATTTGTTAAATTTTCTTTATTTGACAGCGAAAAAGCAAAAAAGAAATGCAACAAAAAGCAAAAAAAAAAAAAACCCTAAATAAAATAACTTTATTCAAATGTTAATAACATATTGATAACACTTATAGACTAAAACTCTAAGCCTTTCAATTCTGAAACATAACTTCAAAATGAATCTGATAAGTGTTTTTAGGTTTTGTGCCTGATTTCACAGAAATGTGTACATAGGCAGTGGAACCACCACTTACACACTGATCCTATAAAATTTTATAGCATATATTCACATTAATAACAAAAATGGAAGGGCAACAATGAGGAAATCTTACAGCTTTACAGCAAATTTATAAATGGGTTCAGTTATCTCTGCTGTAGTTAGTTCCAGACATCTTAAAAGCACAATTTAAATATATGAAGTGCAGTTGTAAGCTATATTTTCAGCATCTTAAAAAAAAAGAATAAATACAAAATAAAACATACAAATAAAATTTAAAAGTATTGTTATTATTTTTTACAAAAATACTTTTTTCAAAACAAAGCTAATAATTTTATATAAAAACATCAAATGCTGGCTCATAGTGTGCCTATGGTGGAGGAGTTTGTTTTGGTTTTGTTTTTGTGCGAGCTTCCTCTTTAACCGATTTAGATGCTTTTATCGGCACTGCTGGAGGTAGAGCTCTGGACACATTTTTATTATCTACGATATTAGAGACTTTTACTTTGGTATGTTTTTATTTTATGCCTATATTATTGAATTATTGAATTATTTGTATTTTTTAATCATTCTATACTGGCTATTTCTAACTTTTCACGAGTATGTCATTATTCTTAAATTTTGGTCAACATCCTATTATGCATTTTAACTACATTGACCACTCTCTGTTTACATTAATTAATTATGCGTTTAAGAATTTACTAAATGATCACAAATTGAATTGATTTGATGCAGAGGGGTGTATGTTTTTCTTTACTGGATTGTTTTTCTGTTTGTATACACACATTCGGTTCTCAGTGAAAAACTACGGCATATTAAACTGTGATGTGATGTGAAGAGTGATATTTTCCTTATATATTTTTTTAACATTCAGTTTATGACATTATGTTTACGACACACTAATGTCTAGAGCCACCTGACTCTTAATTTCTTGCAAAATGTGAATTTACATGCTTCCTCTTGGTTGGTGTATATCAGTTTCTCTTCCCTAAATTTTACCAGCATAAATAAAAGAAGAAGAAGATTGAATACAAAACAGTTAAAACAAATTAAGAAATTAAAAAATAAATCAATAGTATGACTGAAATGGTTGACACTGTCTTTTGTTGATTGGTACAAGTAATTCAGTTAATAAAAATAAATAAATAAAATAAACCGTACAAAGCAAAACTTTATGTATCCAGTTTCTGCATTTGTTTTTTGTTTTTTTTTACCCTGCCTCACTGTTAAAATATTATCTATTAAAAAAAAACAATGTGCTCTTTACCTGGAAAATATTAGTAGTGTTTCCAACTACTTTAACTGGAAGGCACGGGATATCTAATGCAGCAGCTTTTTTAAAGGCATGCATTAAAAAAAAACAAACAAAAACTAAATACAGAAAACATGATCAACCATGTGGTTGAAAACCACTTCATAAGTCAGAGTCTAAGTGAAAATTTGCGTCCTTTTCTCCGTCTGTCCACAGATGATGGAAGATGAAAAGATTACAGTGAAAGGGGAGGACCTTGACTGGTCTGATTTGTATGAAAACTATAACCATTCAGACGGGAACATCTCTTATGAAGGGGGTGATATTTGCAGCCTGACTGAGAATGTGAATTTTGAAGCCGTGTTCATACCAGTTCTGTACTCTGTGGTGTTTGTTGTTGGTCTGCTTGGGAACGGATTGCTGTTGAGAATACTGGCTCGGAGTAGGAAGACCTGGAGTGCGACAGATACCTTCATCTTCCATCTGGGAGTGGCAGATATCCTGATGCTGGTGACGCTGCCCATCTGGGCAGCACAGTATGTCCAAAGTGCTGGATGGACATTTGGTACTCCCCTGTGCAAGATCAGTGGAAGTGTTTTTACAGTAAGTATTGTGCAGGAATAAAGTAGTACAAAATATCTGTATTTTCAATTAATTTAGCAGAGGCTTCAAAATATGTCTTGCTCATCTCTCATTGATTTCTTTAGATTAACTTCTACTGTGGGATCCTTCTCCTGGCCTGCATCAGTCTGGACCGCTACCTGTCCATCATCCATGCTACACAGATGTACTCAAGAAAGAAGCCTTGGGTTATTCGAGCCAGCTGCCTGATGGTGTGGTTCTTTTCCCTGCTTCTCTCCATTATTGACTGGATCTTTTTAGAAGATGTGTTTGATGATAGACGAGGCAGAAGAGAATGTGTTCACAATTATTACAAATTTCGTGAGCAAGCAGTATATAATTGGAGTTTGGCATCACGCATGATTTACCTCATAGTTGGCTTTGCACTTCCTTCAGCCATCATGATGTTCTGCTACTCCCGCATCCTGCATCAGCTGAGGTGTGGTGCCCACAGCCTTCAAAAGCAGAGAGCTTTTAAAGTTATTGTGGCTGTGGTGGTGGTATTCTTTATCTGCTGGACCCCGTACAACATCACTCTCTTAGTGGAAACGTTTAATTTTGACATCAGTAATGAAACTTGTTCAGACACAACATCTCTGGAGAAAGCAAAGACAGTGACCACCTGTGTGGGCTTCTTTCACTGCTGCCTCAATCCCATCCTGTATGCTTTTGTGAGTGAGAAGTTCCGGCGTCGGCTCCTGAGCAGGGAAACAGTGTTCATGTCACACTTAAATGTTTCAAATCATCAAACAAATCATAGGTGAATTGTTCCCCCATCCCCTGAACGTGCTTCCTCTAAATAAGACATGTCAGTCAGATTAAGGAGCTCCTCTAAGTATTTTCTTTACAGTCTATGTCCACAGTTGAAGGCAGCAGCACCCCACCTTCATTAAATACTGTGTGAGTAGAGCACCGCTTTCCCCTCCACCTTTTCTCATGTTTATGCTCACCTCATGATAATAGATGGAGCTCCAAAATGATTGATTCTTTTTTTCTTTCTTTAGGAGTGAGAATTCTCCCTAAGTTGTAAAGCTTTAAATATTTATTTCACTCACATGCAAATTCAGTTCAATTCAATTCGATTCAATTCAATTTTGTTTGTGTATAAACCTAAATCACAAGAGCAGTTACGTCAGGCACTTGATAAACTAAGATCCTACAGTAAGTACACAATAATTGTTGGGGAACTCATGGTGGCTCATGGAGCCTTGTTACAGTATATTTGAGTTGATGGTTTTGACCCTGTGTGGATATGAGAAAATCCAAAATTAATTAGATTCATTTTGGATTCAATTCTTGTGTTTTTAAAGTAACTAACGATGTATACTGTACAGCAGGGGTGGGCAATTCCAGGCCCTGAGGGCCGGTGTCCCTGCAGGTTTTAGATGTGTCCTTGAACCAACACAGCTGATTTAAATGGCTAAATTAGCTCCTCAACATGTCCTGAAGTTCTCCAGAG